TCAAAGAGGGTTGGTGAGTTTTTGAACCCTTGGGGAAGGCGTGTCCAGGTTAATTGCCCTGAATAACCTCCTTCAGGGTCTGTCAATTTGAATGCAAAAATCAGCTGACTCAGTGGAGAGAGAGGCAAGGAGAAGAAAGCATCTTTGGTCTAGGACGGTGTAGACCACCCGATCAGGGGGAATGAGGCTCAGCAGAGTGTAGGGGTTGGGTACCGTGGGGTGGATAGTTTCCACTCTCCGGTTTACCTCCCTCAGGTCCTGTACTGGCCGATAGTCATTAGTTCCAGGCTTCTTAAGTGGTAAGAGTGGGGTATTCCAGGCCGACTGACAAGGGATTAATATCCCCGGGTCCCTTGGGATGTGCACTGCTATGCCTTGTCGGGCGTCCAAAGAAATAGAGTACTGGCGTATGCGCACTGGGCTTGCTATACTGCAGAGTTGCACCACTATGGGTGGTTGGTGCTTTGCCAAGCCTGGGGGGTTTGTTTCAGCCCATACACCCAGGACTTGAGTCCTCCACTGTGCCAACAAGGTGGAGCTCCCTGACGCCTCTGAGGCTTCCTCTTCAGAGGATGCATTGTGGAGTCTCAGGAAGAAACAGAGTGGTACCTTCTGAACTGAAGGAGATTGTGGCATGCAACTGTTCTAGCAGATCTCTCCCAAGCAGCAGGTATGGGCAGTCTGGCATAACTAGAAAGGAGTGTGTGATGTCCCCTTTTCCTAAATCTGTGGGCCTGGCAGTAGTCCATGGATATCTTTTGGGCTGCCCCGTTGCCCCCACTATGGGAGTCTTGGTTTTGGTTAGTGGTCTCACAGCCTCTTTTAGGATGGAGAAGGTAGCTCCTGTATCAACTAAAAACTCCGCAGGCCAGCCCCCTACTTTCAAGGTTATCATGGGCTCCCGGGGGCCAAGAGGGTAGGAGCCCTGACCCCTTCATTGGGCACTTTCCAGGAGGACCTGGGCGGGCCTCTCCTTGGGCCTCCCCCTGTTGGGGCACTCGTTTTTCCAATGCCCCGAATTGCTTACAGACTGCACATTGGTCAGGGTCTAACGTTTTTCCTCTACGGGAGTGTCCTCCTGGGGGAGTTTTGCAGCTTCCTGGAGGTGGGCCTCCCTGTCTTCAGGGTGGCCTAGTTTCCTGCAGTGCGGCAATGACAACTCTTGCCGTCTTTTTAGTGGCTGCTACCTCAGCTGAGTCCCAGTTATTGAAGCCCTTTTGAGCTATTTCCACTAACTCACTGAGATTTTTCCCTTCAAACCTGTCTAATTTCTGCAACTTCCTCCTGGTGTCTGGGGCCGACTGGGTCACAAAGGCAACATTAATAGCTCTACGGTTTTCAGGGGCCTCCGGGTCTATGGGGGTGTAAGTCCGGCAAGCCTCGAACAATCGCTCTAAGGCGGCGGCCGGACTTTCCCCACTTCCCTGAGCCCATCCACTAACCTTAGACATATTTGTAGGCTTCCTAGCTGCTCCACGGAGGCCCAGCAACAGAGTCTGGCGATATTGGGTCAGCGACCCCCTACCTTGGTCAGTGTTAGGGTCCCAGTCTGGTCTATGGTTGGGGAAGCGAGTCTCTATGAAGTCTGCATCGGATGCCGGCTGCCCATCCGGGCCAAGAACGGCTTTTCTCGCCTCCCGGTTTATGCCCTCGCGTTCTTCGGATGTGAAGAAAACCTAGAGGAGCTGCTGGCAGTCATCCCATGTGGGCTGGTGGGTGTGAAACACCGTTTCCAAGAGAGAAGTGAGACCCTGTGGTTTCTCGGAAAATGGAGGGTTTGGGGCCTTCCAGTTATACAAATCACTGGTAGAGAATGGGGCATAAACCATAAAAGGGCAGTCACTCCCAGGCAGAGGGGCCATCTGGCGCAGTGGTAAGATGGCCCTGGGGCCCCCTGATGAGTTCGGCGAAGGGGGTTGGTGTCCCCTTCCACAGGTTCTTGGTGGACTGTAGGGTGGTTCGGGGGTTGCTTCTCTTTCACCCTGAGCCTCTTGTGCCCTACTTAATTCTAGGGCCCTTCCCCCTCTCCCATCCTGCTCGTCTTCCCTGTCTTGGGCGGCCTCAGGGGGAGCATAAGGTGGAAGTCGCCATGGATCGCACAGGGGGTCTTCACCCTGCCATGGGAAGGGGTTGCGGTTTGAGGTGGGGCAAGGGGGTCCCGCCGCTCTTTAGAGACTTGTCAGAGAATGAAGCAGGGAATGCCTGCTCCCTGGGGTCTGGTTGGAAGTTCCTGGGAATAAGACTTGAGAGGGTTTGACATCAACACACTTGGTTAGGTATTGGGGTCTTTCAGTAGCTATGTCAATCCAGACATCAATATACGGAACTTGGTCTGGGTGACCTGGGTCACTATAGACCACCCACCGTATACTGAGTAGGAGGGATAAGTTGAAGGAGCCCTCTGGTGGCCAGTGGGTACCAAAAGAAGGCCACTCTAATTCACATAAAATCCTAAGAGTGGGGGTGTAGACCCCGGCACCAGCACCGTAATCCCTGGCTTGCCTGGAAAAGTCGGAGAAGTTTTTCAGGAGACAACCCAAGGGGGTTTTCTGAGCCTACGGACCCTGTCCCATCCTGAAAGTGAAAAGGCTGGCCGAAAGTGGGAGAGAATTTAGAAGTTAGATCGAGGAAGGGACCCACAGGCGGGGGAGTCCCAAGTCCTGTTGGGGTCTGCAAAGGAGAAGACGGCGGTGGATTTGTCAGATGTTTAGAGGGCTCTGGCCCTGAGGCTCCCAACCACTTTTTCTTTTTCTCACAGTAAAAACAACACAGTACCGGCCCCTGGGGAAGACGATCCCCCATGTATGTTGTTGTCCCTCCCTTTCCCAGCTTGAACAGAGCTGCAAGACAGACAAAGGAGGGGGAATTTTTTCTTTCAGGTGTCCACCTGGCTGCATCCCTCTCGGGAACTTAGGCGCATCTTGGTGAAGGCGGACCGGTACAAAGCCCGGGCCAGGTCACTCCCTCTCAGGGGGAGTGAATCGCCATTATGCCGTACGATGCCACCACAGAACCGCAGGTTAGGACCCACTCAGACCCCGTAACCGAAGCCGTGGGGCCACAGACTCAGTGGCCGCAAGCAGTCACCGAGTTGCTTTCACTCACACATGCACACAGAGGTCAAACAATTCCTCCCCCAAGACCCTTTGATATCCACTATCTTATTCTGACCTTGGTATCCTTAGTGACATCTCACAAGGATACTGGAGGTGGCCCTTGTGCTGCGTCCGGCGGGTCCAACACCCAGAAAACTCTGTACAGAGACCTACTCACCAAGAGATGTCCCTTGTCCCGGCGCCACTGATCAATGGGGTCCCCAGTCTACTGCGGGGCAGAGGAACGTCTCTCCGCCGCCTCCCCTGCAGCGACTAGGGCCTGCCCCGATAGAATTTGCCTGGGAGGAGCCAAAACTCCTCCAGTCTGGGTCCGATCAGCGGTTGATCTCGCTGGGGCCTCCAAATGTTTTAAACCACTAGATCAAGGGGACTCGGACACCAGAATCCAATCAGCCAAATTAGTTTATTGATACCTGCGCAGGGGCTGTCACCACTCCATGCTAGGAGGGAGAAGCAGCACCGAACAAAGCCTTTGAGGTTTTCTTATACCTTAGGGGCTGGCAGCTATGCAAGCGAGCAATCAGAGAAGCAGAACTTTGCAGTGGAAAGTGAACAAGTGAACAATGGAAAGGTACATTGAGGGACAAGGGACTTTTCCTGGAACAGGACCTCTCTATTCTTTTTGGGAACAGGCCTCCTTGACTCCCTTCTCCCTCCTCTGGGAACTTCCTCTGGGAACTTTTACTAATAGTTAGAGCAAGACTGACTCCATTTTAGATTTACAGGAGCCATCTTTAGTCTATCTACTTCAGACAGCCTAGACAAAATGGCACTAAGATGGGGCACAGACATAAGTAGTTAGAGCTGGGCCACCAAACAGACAGCATTAGCTTTTTTTCATGAAAAATGGGTTTCGGACTGTGTTTCGGCACTTCATTTGTATCCAACCATTATGGGAAATGCCTGTGATCGTCAAAAAGAATCCATTTTTCACTACACGTACAAATATGGTGTAGAAACAGCCTTTATGTTGTGACAGCAAAGAAAGGCAAGCTTCAGGAGAATTTCTCTTGATGCGTGTTTAACTCATAGGGTACCCAGCTGTCCAGCTTCTTTCCCTGGCCGATTTGTTTCAGTTGGTCCAATATTGCTGGCATAGTAACATCACACCTTGCTGCTCATTCACGTGTAGCTTGAGATGGATTTGCTTCCACCGCAGCCCTCAGCTCATCATTATCCACCTTGGTCCCAGGTCACCCTCGTGGCGCAATTTTAAGATTAAAATCACCAGAATGGAAGTTCTGAAACTATCCATGTACTGTGTGTTCATTAGCCACGTCCTTCCCTAACACTTCGTTGATATTTTGAGCTGTCTGTGCTGCATTGGTTCCCCGACAGAACTCATATTCCAAACTAACACGAATTTTTTACTTATGCATGGTTTTGCAAACATTGCTCTAAAAAAAATCCTTTGAAAGATAATCACAAGCCAGACCATGCGTTTGAAAGACTGAGGATGTACCTGCACAATAAAAATAAACCACGAAGTGTCAAAGTGAAATGTCAGAAATAGCCGTCCGAGTTAGTACTCAAGGAAATCGGACATTTCACACTTACTAACCTAACACATCTGTGCTCATTCACACTCTTCGCAGGTTTTTAACTATAAAGTTAATTTGTTTAAAGAAGAAGTTGCAGGCCACACGGTGCGGGCTCCGGGCTTTGGAACTTTCCCTTTTCCCTTGGCGGGGCGTCCTTGGCTTAGGGAACCAAAGACCAGGAAGGGGGACTCCTGGCTGGGCCGCCACCTCTTAGCCCTCACAGGCGGCTCCGGGCGCCATGGGCTTCCCCAGCTACCACCGAGATGCCGAGCCTCCTGCCGTCCTAGAGAGGACGCGGAGGGAGGGCCAGGGCCTCTCTGGGTCCGCGCGGCCACATCCGGTCCTGACTATGGCCAGACTGTGTGTCCTGCAGGGGGCGTCCTGGCTGTGCCCTAGACCGGGGCGGGACCCGGCACTTCCCGCCCGCGTGGTAGCGCTTTCCCGGTTCCGAAGTAGTGGCTGACGGTGCTGCCAGGGGAGAGCCAGGCGTGGAACGGCCACAGCTGTCGGAGAGCCGCCAGGAAGGAAGCCGAGGTCCTGTTCACGGGGAGCAGGGGGAAACTGAGGCAGGCTGTGCGAGGAGAGGCGCGGCTCTGGGGATGAGGTGAGGGGCCAGAGCTCTGGGAAACGGTAACAGTAGGGGCTTTGCTGTGTTCACTCATTCATTTTTCAAATGAGAAACGAATGTCTGCGTTCCAGGTCCTTTGCTGAATGTTGAGGAATAAGCGACGAAAATGCCAGACAAGATCCTTATCCTCACGGAGTTCCAGGAGGGAGACTAACAAACAGATAAAGGACACGTGCATTAATGTCAAGTAGTGACAAATGCCAGAAAGAAAGGAACTAGCCGAAGCCATAGAGCATGGTAGGAACTTCACTGTCAGGGAAGGCCCCTTCGAGGAGGGGTTATTTAAGCTGAGCCTTGAAGTCTGGGAAGAAACCTCTACAGGGATTGACAGGGAGAACCTTTCAAGCAAAGGGACCAGGAGAATAAAGGCCTTGCCATGGGGAGGAGATGGATGTTCCAAGTACTGACATGACATCCCTGTGCGTGGCAGGGAGATGAGGCTAAAGACGTGGGACTATGGGGGCAGGAGTAAGCAGGACAGGTGTCGGGCACAGTGGCCTGAGGCTTCTCCTTGGTGCCCTGTGAAGGGTGGAGAATGGGGAGGTCGTGGTGATAGTGCAACCTTCCTCACACTGGTGCTCCTCTGTCAGCTTGTAACCTGTGGTGGGTCAGGCAGGCTTTCTGGCCGCACTCAAAGGCCCACACCTCAGGTCCTCCTAGAATAGGCCAGTTTTTCTGTTCTCAGCTAACAAAGCCCCAGGCTAGCCATGAGGATGAGCACAAACCTCACCAGTAGAGCAAGGACAGAGCTTTCCAAGGATTCAGGTGATCCTCATTAATGGTTTTCTCAAAGACTTAGTGAAGGGATTGCCTTCTGATAACAAACAGCTAGAAGTGGGGTGGGTATACATCTCACATAGAATAAACCCACTCGGGGGGAGGATCAAGATGGCGGATGAGAAACACCGCCAGACAGAGTGTCTCTGCAGAAAAGACAGATTCTAGCAGAAATTAGAAAAAAGAAGCAAGAAGACGAGCATACAGCGGACGAGGGCCAGAAGGAGGGATACCTGAGACCCCGGGAGATTCCACGGGAGGAGGCTTCGGAGGAGAACTGGAAGGTGAGTCTGCCGGAGCAGCCCGGAGACCAGCGGGAAGAGGAGGTGGATTTGCCATCTCCCCTCCCCTGCATCTGGGACTGCTGGTGGGCTCCTTGCGGACACCAGCCTAGAGATGGCCGCTGCTAGCTAGCGGTGAGCCTGTAGCTGACACAGCACCAGGCTCCCAAATCCCTCAGGGCACCTCCATGTGCACAGACCCGAGCCGGCGCAGCAGGCGCCATATTGCCTCCTCCTCCCCTCCGCCGACCCTACACGCAGCTGCCCAGAGAGACAATACAGCCACCAGCTGGAGGAACCTCCAGGGAACGGGGCCTTCCCTTTTGGGACCCTACAGCTGACTAAGGGGAACTCACACAGTGAGCTCCCTACCCGCCAGCCCTCCCAGGTGCTGCTGGCACGGTGTTCCCAGGAGAACAGTGCAGACTCAGAGGCTGAGAGACATAGACCCAGCTTGGGCTCCCTGTGGGTGAATTGGGACCGGAAATCCTCTCCCTGGTGGGGATACAGTTTGAACTCTGGGACCCAGAGGTCGAACCTGCAGACCAGATCCCTTACACCGAGGTCTAGCATTGTCTGGGGCACAGAAGGGATATATGTGAACAGCCTACTGAGGTTTGTGTGCCTTCAAGGGCAGATCAGCATCCTAGAGGGCAACCCTCCACCCAAAAGGAGGCCGTACGCCCAGCCCAGGTGGCATTTCTGCACAAGGAACCTCCCCGCCGGCATCACAATCTGGGGAGGCCTGGTGGCGTGTGGTCTGGCCTGCTGGCATAGGCCTAGGAGTAGCTGCAGAGTGGGGAGGGTGGAAAGAAGCCAGGCCCACTCCAGACTGCGGGTCTCAGACAGCCCCACCCCCACAAGCAGACTTTCTGGCTTAGCGGGGCCATTCCAGCCCTGCCCTGACAGCTTTTCCTTGAAGCAGAGAACAGAACTTTGACCCCTGCTAACAGAATTGGTGGTGCCTGAGGGCAGGCTTACCCAACCCAGCTCTGCCCAGAACAAGAGCTGATGACAGGACACAAAAACAACAGCATAGCCTGTTCCTCCAAGCAAGTGCCATCTACTGACAGGGAGGGCACCCTGGCACAGCCTTTTCACGCACCACTGACTCATTATACAGGGAGGTGGTCGAATCTCCCACAGACACCACTAACGGCTCAGAACCTAAACAAGGCGTCGTGAACTACCAAACAAAACCTAAGAAGAAACAACAACTGATCGCACATGGGAAGAAATCAGCAAAGGAACTCGGGAAAATGTGAAGAACCAAACGGAAACACACCCTAAAGAGGAGCACCAGCCCACCTAGAAACGGACACCACCCAATCAGGCAAGCCAAAATGGAAGAGGAATTTCGTCTGGTGGATCATAACACTCACCGACCTGCAAGAACAACTCAATAACCATAAAGAAACCACAAAAACCTCCAGGACCTAGAAGAAAAGTTCACTAAAGAAATAGACACAATGAAGAAAAGTTTAACCGAACTCCTGGAAATGAAGAATCAATTCAGGGAACTACAAAATACAGTGGAAAGTCTAAAGAACAGGGTAGATCAAACAGAAGAAAGAATCTCAGAGCTTGAAGATAACACCTTCCAACTAAATAAAACTGTCAC